GCAGCAATTACAAAATATAGTCAATTAAATGTCCATAAAATAGAGTAAAACATGAGAAATTGTTTTGACGCGGCGTAAATGAAATCTAAATAGACTTTAGTCCATTGGTTTCGTGAATTCTGGAGATAGATCTTTCTATTTCAAAACCACCGGAATTAAAAAATGTTTGCAAATTCTTAGAAAATATTCACCACCATTATCAAATTTAAAATTTTTTATTTTATTTCCATCTGTCTTTCCATTTTCTGTATGTATTCTTTTATATTATTTTCTGCTTCAGCTTTATATCTCAAAAAATATATCTTTGTATAGCGAGAGTATTCATCTATAAAAGAAATGTAATACCGTTTACCACCAAGTGATTCAGTGGAAAAAGGTCCAACTATATCAGAATGTACTTTTTCCAAAATGTTTTTACAACTGGTACCTTGTTCTTTCGATATCTTTCTCGTCATTTTAGATTTTGAACATGCTATACAATCAATCGCAGTTGTTCGTTCTTTTGGCAGAACCTCAGGATCATTAACAACATCCTTAATGTCTTTAAATGAACTAATAGGAAAGTGTCCCCGACGTCGATGCCAAACAAAAGAAGTTACATTTACATATTCTAAAGTAACTTCTTGAAATACGTTTTCCTTATTTTTTGAAATGACCCATCCAACTAATTTTTCTTTTTTCCATAGCGATATCTCTTCCGCATTGCCTTTCATAATAATTGCTTTAGATTTAATTACTTCCTACGAGATTAACGAGCATTTTAAATCTGGAGAAAACAGCACATCATGAAGAACTACTCTTACTGAAGATCTATTTGGCAACAATGCATTTAACCGGACATTGCCTATATGAGTAGCCTGAATCTTTTTGTCGTTTCCTAGTCGGATATATACTGATTAAGGACGTAGATAAGTAAAAGCATTTTTATTTCCAGACATATGTGTTGTGGCACCAGTGTCAAAAATCCACTTATTTCCTAAGTTAAGTGATTGAACTGCTGGAAATGCAATTTCGACATCTTCCTCAGATTCCTCAACAAGTCGAGCGATTTCTTGTTCATTTTTTTCCTTATTTCTGCAGTACTGTATTGAATGACCCTTATACCATTTTTTCTTTTCTTTACAATATGAGCATTCTTATTTGGGGTTTTAATTATTTGTAATGAATTAGACAATTACCTAAATAAATTTGAATGACATAATGTCATAATTAATGTAAATAAACAAAGAAAATGAACCCTGAAATCATTTATAGAATTCAAAACGTTTTTTTTGTCCCTTTTGGGCTCCTAGAATTTAACTACAAAATAATTAAGAAAAACAATGGAAAATATATCTACAGAGGACCAGAACGAATCTTCAAAACAAGAAAGAAATACTTGATAAAAGGTTAAACTTCTACAATTTCCAATTTGACAATGGACTTATAAAAGGTATCTTTTCATTCTAGTTAACTCACAGAACATAAGAAATGGATCTCCTATTAAACTTCTACCCAAAACGGAGTATACGGAGTGATCTTTCAATAGATTTTATTCCTATTATACTTAAATAATAAATTAAAAGTTAAATGTTAATACTATATAATTTTTGTGGCAAAAGCATCCCAGTACATTCGTATGGATTTTGAACCGTAACAACTCCCCTCTTACCTAATAGAAGTGTTTTCCCTTCTAAAGGTGAAAACACTTTAGAAAAAATTAATTCATAAACCAACTTATACTTAAATACTAAAAGTTATAGTCAAAAATATATACAATAAGAAAAAAAAATATTATTTACACACTAGGAAAATGGTTTTCTCATCTAAAGATGAAAACACTTTTAAGTAAATGAAATCCTTCGTTCAACACAGGACAGGTACAAAACAACCAAGGTATCATATGAGTCCAATGTTTCGAAAATGAAGTTATAGAGATTCGTATTAAATAGACCAATTGCGCTTAGTCGTACTGGAGTAACGGATAAGTTAAGATTTAGGTTATGGTAAGTTAAGGTTTAGGTTAGGATAAGTTTTGGTTTAGGATATGTTTAGGTTAGGATAGTTTTTAATTTAAGGTAGGTTTAGGTTAGGATAGTTTTTGGTTTAAGATATGTTTAGAATAGGTTAAGGTTTAGGTTAAGGTTTAATATAGGTTAAGGTTAGGATAGTTTTTATTTACAATAATTATCTACAACTATATATACAATATCTAATCTTCGTTCTGATCTTCAGGCTCATCCCTATCAGGATCTATATCCTCTAGATCTGGGGGATGGGCTTTCAGATCTTTGGCATGCCAAATACCGATTGACCTACCATCTGTATCTCGCAGTTCATATGACCAGGGAGATAGTATCCGACATATTTTGTAAGGTCCAACCTATTTAGGTGCTAACTTCGAAATAAAATGTTTCGAGGCATCAGATAGGGAAAAATGTCGTTTCCACACATCTTGGTTGAGTGTGAACGTATCAGGTCTATGTCTTAAGTTATATGTCTTACTGCTACGCTCATAAGCCTTCTTTGGTCTACAACCAACATCCTTGTAAACCTCTTCCAGAGCTTTACTCCGAGAAATAAGTTCCTCACTTCTGTCGAAGTCAAGTACATTATTTAGAGGTATAACCTCGTTCCCACTAATTGGTATTTCGCGACCGTATACAATGAAATTGGGGGTTAAACCCGTAACTTCATGACGTGCAGATCGAATGGCCCAACCTATCTTCAAAAGATTTTTGTCCCATGTCCGGTGATTTCCATCTACGTAACAACGTAACATGGTTTTTACCTACCTGTTTTATTTGATATTCCTTCATCAAAGATTGAAAAGCGTTGGATTTAAATTGTACCCCGTTGTCAGTGATTACTCGAGTCGGAGCACCGAATACTAATATCACCCTTTCTTCCAGAAGCTTGATAAACTCGAGGTCGAAAAAAATCATAATTTCTATACTTTCCTTATCTGTATACAGATAGGAAAGTAATTATAGAGTTGGACCAATTTCGGTAAATATCAATCATATCAGCAAATATTAATCGTGGATGGACGCCATTGTTTGGTCAGACGTAACTTCTAACATTAATTAATGTTTTTCATTTACACGTTAGAAAATACCTTGAGTTACCATGTAATTAACACCACTAAAGTAGATTTTGAGTTATCCTTGATAAATACATACCTTATCCGATGAACTGAAAAAATAACAAGAACAAAAAAATGCATAAAATCTGTTTGTTACCGTGCACACTTACGATGAAACTGACTAAATGTGCCTTTGTTGATATACATCTTCTTTAATAGATGGCATCACATATTCTGTCCTTTTTTGAAGCTCGGTTATTCGCCTCCTCTCCCCTAAAGGTACCATTTGGGTAGGCGCGTCAGGAGACAAGCGACCACTGAAGCGACCCCAAGGTCGAGTAGGAAGACAGATGCGTAAATGTTACGCTTCCTACATTTCGCAAGCTTTAGAAGTGTCGCGCGACATTTACAGGGATAACCATTCGAGGGAACAATCAGCGTTGCCAGACCTACTGTTTTCACGTAGATCTACTGTTTTTGTATTTAGCAAATTTTGTTCTTAATTTATTAAGTTTGCCTCATTCTTCAGAAAATGGTTAAAGAATATTTTCTCTAGTAAATTTTCTGCAGTAAAAGCAGCGTAATAAGCATCCACTACTGTAGGTTGGCTCCATAAAAAAACATCAAAATAATCATTGTTTTTATTTAAAATGAAACAAAGAATTAATAAGGTATCATAAAAAGAACATGCATATGCCAAACACTACGATTTTGAATTAGCTGATTCAAACTGATCTAAAAGAAGTAGGTACTTATTATTTTTCATTGGTTTTTTCCCGTACGTTTAGTATATAATAAAAATGTTTTTATTTGTTTTTATTCTTTATTTACTTTCTAATTTGGGTAGAAAAAAGTTTATTTTGCGTTTCTTATATATTTGTTTTTTTATTTACTACACTGCAAATTATAATTATTTCCCCCTGTATTAAAATCTACTGTTCAAATCTACGGTTTTTTTTACCCATACTGTTCCAAAATCTGGCAACGTTGCCTAAATCGAAAGAAATTTCCATCCTAATCACCCTCAAAATGAACCGATGCTCGAGGACAGTGATCCCGAGTGCGACATGCAGCAAACCTTTGCCACGAGGCAGAGTAAGAAGTGTCTCCAGGAAGTGTCGTCTTGACGACACTTCTCGTGTCGCGCCGTGCGAAATGTGTTTCATATAATTGTATGTATTTTAGATGTGAAGCGACACTTCTCGGTCGCGTCGGCGGTCGTATGTAGCGTTGGCGGTCGTCTGTCGCGCCTACCGAAATGGTACCTTTATAGTGCATTTTAACGAAACAATCCTAACACAATCCCACAGATGTTCAGCATACAACAACGTGTACACACATTTATTTGTAGATTGTAGAAAATGTGCTTTGAAAATAGGTGTTCAGTTGTGACTTTAAAAAAGAAAATTTCAATCACTTGTTCAAAGCAGTAACATTTCATTAAATAATTTGAAGATGTTCTTTTTCTTAATTTTATTAAAAAACAGTAATGTGGTAGCCATCAAATTTGTCTAGTGAGCAGAATAAAGAATCCAGAAGATGATAGACATAAAAAGTTAAGTTCAAAAAGACATGACTCCTGGTACTCAATACAATGGTTACAACTTGAACAAGGGAAAATAAAAAAAGTATTATTAAAATATCTAGATTTAGTAATTCCTTATCACAGAAGTTAGTACCAAATAACTTATAAACTGTTATCATCTTTTAAATATTACAAAAGGTATTAAAAACTGAAACTTAAACTCTCTTTCCATTATAATTTGCTTGGGCAGTTAGTTTTGATATTTTTAAAATGCATTTAATAATGAAGCCCACGCGGGGGCTATGCCCCCACTTAATTTTTTTAAAATTTAAATCATATTCATAAAAATGTTTATTAAAATAGATATAAATATAAAATAAGAGTTTTAATGAGTAATAACAATAGTATCATTTAAATATTAAAATAAATCATCTGGCAATATGGATTTCAAACAAATCTCTACTAAATTCTCCCCATCTCTAAAAGTAAGTGCTTCTTTTTTGAAATAATTCACGAAAGCTCGCAAGGTTCCAAACTCTGGAGAAACACTGCTTGAATCAGCATTTAGTCGAATCCTGTTGGTTGTAGTACGTTCTATTCCCAAATTATAAAATTTTCCATTACTTTTTATAGTTAATACAAGAAAATATTTTCGACTTGGTCGAAATAGAAATGCTCCATCTCCTAAATTACGTAACAATTGTTTTGCTCCCTTCCTATCAGTGTTCCTGTAGAATTTTTCGTTATTAATATTAACTGAAACAAAATAAAAATTTAGAACCTTTTATCAATACGTAATTTATCTAAATTATCTTACATATTGAATCAATATATTCTTCTTGTTCCTCTGCCTCCTCCGCTTCTTCAATATTAATTTTGTCTGTCGGTTCATCTTCAATAATTTCTTCTTCACGAACTTCTTCTTCTTCTTCTTCAGGAACTTCTGCTTCATCATCAATATTTCCGTAAATTGGTTGGTCACTTTCATCAATTTCATCATCATCTACCTTCTCTTCAGCTTTTAGATTAGTTTCTTTCCTTGAATAACTAGACGCTGAAGATTGCGAAGCAGTTTCATCAATGTTACCATAAAATGGTTGATCATTAGCTTCATTATCACTTTCAGGAGGAGAAATATATGGTTTTGAACTTGGATTTTCTATTGATTTGTTGCTGGTTGTAGATTTTTGTTTCAATGCAATTTCTCTGGCTTTAAGAGCTTCTGAAAGTTTTAAAGCCAAATCATCTGGCAAAATCGGCATCGGTGAAGCTGAATTTCTGTGGCTGCTTGATGCTGAAGTTTTTATAGATGAGTGATTCTCGTATTCAGGAATATCTGAAAAAACAAAAAAATATTATGATATAAACATGTAAGAGTATAAGCATAGAACAGCAAAAGCGTAAACAAGAAAATATAATGATTTCGCTCCAATGTAAAAATAAAGAAACTTGTGACAACTTAGGAAGGAAACTATTATTAAGAAAGAGAAAACGGAGAAGACGACGAATAAAAAAAGAAGAAAAATGAGAAAAGGAAGAGAAAAACGAGGAAAAAGAAAGAAGAGTAGTTACTGTCAACATGTTTTCTTTATGGATTAAAAGAAAACTTGACGTTAGGAGAATCGATATAAAGTATACAGATACACTTGTTATTAATAGGAGAATTGTAGAAATATGTTGAATTTCGCCCAATTTTTATATAAGTGAGTTAAGTCCTTGGGAAGTTGTAAATTTAATGGATGTATATCCTTCAGTGTCAGTTTTAAGAGACGTAAATTTCGTTTCGTGGAACAAATAATTTTTAAGATTAAGCGTAAATCCCTGAACTTTGGAAATAAAGAGTGAGCAATAATCAATTCAAACAAAGTCTAACACTACAATCTCTAGTGAAAAAGAAGTAATCAGTTTACAGAGTAAAACAGATTTTGGTTTCCCAAGATAATGTTAAATGGTTTGAGGTTAATTATGATGCCTACTATATTTATATGAGGAGATAATGAGGCAATAAGATATGGGTTACAAAAATATACATAACCCATATGATCTGGTAAAATAAGCAAATCTAATAAACAGATTGCTGTTCTTAGTGACTTTATTGACAACTTAAGTATCAGTTCTGTTAATTAGGTAAGTGACGTTATATTAGGGTTACTACTGAATTTATTAACGTTACCTAATTTATGTTTAAATAAGGTTAGTCACGTGGGATACGGGTAATGTAGAAGACTATTTTTTAAAACTTTTAAAAAAACAATAATATTACCATCAACATCATTATCACTGTCACTAGTTCTGGTTTTTTCTTTTTGGGTTTCAACAGTATCAAGACGACTTCTATTGTCTGGCTTAGTAATTTTCTTTGTCACTTCCACATGGGGTTCTGCTAGTCTTGGTAAATCTACACTAATTCTTTTTCTGGGTAAACTACCTCCAGTATTTGGCTGTGGCTTTTTATTTTTGGTTGATATCTTTTCAGGTCTTCTCAGAGAAGAAGAACTTGTAGATAGGCTGACAGGGATTTCAGGCAATGGCCGATTTTTATATGAATTAAAATCTGGGATTTCGAGTGTAGGCATTTCACTTTGTAACATGTGGTTTTCGTAATTTGAAGAATTTTTAAACAAATCAACCTGCTTTGTTGATTTAGATTTTGCTGCAAAAAAGCTGTTTATTTTGCCCAAAAAATTGCTGGGTCGTCTGCATTCTTCTTTTTCGACTATAATTACGTTGGTAAGATCTTCCACTGTTAATTTTTTACTTCTTTGTGTTTTTGCTTCAGCAATTGATCTGGCAATATTTTCTTCAGTTTCTTCCATTTGGAAATTCTACATATAATATTTAGAAAAAAGTATATTAGAAAAGACATATCTATTAAAAATTAAATGCACAAATGCTACGTTAGCTATTGTTATTTATTATGACTACTAAAAAATTCACTCTTCATGGAAATATTATAAACATATTGATAATTAACAAAAAAACTTACCAAGAAACCTCCAATTGTTTTAATATTATTTCTCAAGTTCTTAAGTTTCTCCTCTGGTATTGGTTCGTAATCATTTATCTCTTCATCACTTTGATTTGTTTCCTTTGGTATTGGTAAAGGTCCCCTATTTACTACTGAAAAAACCATGTCTTCTTTTAAGTACGGTTTTGATATTTCTGTGGAACTTTTACGGTTATTTTGAAGAACCTTTAAACGATTTTTTATGCTTGGAGGAGGTTCGTAAGTATTTTCAGGCCCAATATCGTTATGAGCCAAATGCTTTTCATCAAATTCATTTGGAGACAAGTAATCTTCATCCAGTTTGTCTTTTAGTTTGTCTATATCTTCATATGTCAATTCTGGACTACTAGGCCGCCGTTTGTTAATAACTGGTGTCGGTTTCTTTATTTTATTTTTTATTATTAACGATGAATTCGATTTCTTCAGTGGTTCTGGTAAAAATGCTTTGGGTTTCGCTTTCAACTGATTTGATTCGTCGTCTGAATCAGGTTCTGGTGGTAAAGCTTTAAGTTTGGTAATTTCAATTGGTAAAGGCTTAGGAAAACTAAGTTTGCTAGTGTCTTTCGGAGCAGGTGTTATTTTCGGAGAATTATTGCCATCCAATTTGACATCCAGTTTTTGTTTAAATTCATTTTGGTCTGCGGAATTACTCAGACTAATCTTTTTTATCGCTGCCTTGTCTTGCGATGATGTTTGAGTAAATGATGGTTTAGGTTTAAATGACTCTGGTTTAGGTTTTGTGGGTAAATTTGGTTTTGATCTGTTAGCTGTATTTGTGTTTGTAGCTGGTCTTTGTTTTAATATTACAGAAGGATCGTCCTTAACTCTTTTTATAAAATTAAAGAGGTTTTTCAGCTGTGCTGGTGGTAATTTCCAGGTAAATGTTTGAAATTCAGATAGATCCTAAAAAATTTATAGCCGTTAAGTAGTGGAAGGGATTTACTTGTAGTATGAATTAATTTTTAAAATTATTTCTAGTACGTAAAAAATTAAAATGTATTTTTAATACAATGGTAAATAACAACAATAAGAGAAAAATATATTTGGTTTTAACCAATAATATTTTAATATATTTAACACGTCAAACGGAAGCATACGCTGAAAATAGAAAGTACTAGATTTTGCTTTGAGTGTACTAGAGTATCAGAAGTTCAGAGAATGAACTAGATCTAGTATAATTGTACTAGACTGGTAACATTGGTTATAACTCATATTTATACATTTTGTGTTGAATTCATTAGCCATGTCAACAGTTTTTATGAGGAGTTCTCCATTTAAATTTAGCACATTTCCTACAATTTTTCCATTACGGTCCATTTTATAAAAATTATATATAAACAAAAATTATAGAGATTGATATCGCAAACAACTTTTAGTTCAACAATTTTCATAAAAATCAGAATTTTGCACATTTTGTCAAATTTATTTGAACAATTTTCTTCTCCAAACATAAATAACAGATAAATTCCATAAAATATAAAAACGGCCTCCCATAAAGTACCCCCCCAGATGTTCCGACTTTGTCCAAAATCTAATCATTTTGCGTCAGGCCGAAATAAAACTTAAGTTTAAAATTTAATGTTTTTTTCTTTATCCGTTTTTGAGTTTTCTTCAAAATTCGAAATTTACACATTTTTTCAAATATCTCGAATACGGTCCATTTTAGAGAAATTATGTATAATATGATAAAAATTATAGAGAATTATATTACAAACAAATTTTATTCAAACAATTTTTATAAACAATTTTTTTTACATTTTGTCAAATTTCTCGAATACGGACCATTTTAGGAAAATTTTGTATTGAAAAAAAATTATAGATAATAATATTAGGAGTAATTTTTATTTGAATAATTTTCTTCTTTAAATGTAAATAACAGATAATAAAATAAGACAACCAAAAGTAGAAGATAAAGACAATTTCTACGAGTCATTGAATAATATGAAGGAAAACTGTAAAATTAAGCGATGCCGATTTGTTCAATTAAAAAGTAAACAATTAGAAAGAGAAACTGGTTTATTGAATGATTTAAATGATCAAATGAAAAAAAGGCTTTGTGATCAAGAAGAAATTATATTTCTTCTCAAAGCAAATTTGGCAAATAAGTCAAAACAAAATAAAAATCAAGTTGAGGAAGAATATTCCAGTAAAACAGATTACCCCAATCAAAATCAACAAATAAAGAAAAAAATTTAAGTAAAACTGACGAAGACGGTTTTCCGACAGTAAATAGACGAAACAAAAGGTCTTTAAAATCTGTGCTCGTTAAAGGTTCCTCGTGTCAAAGTTCCTGCAAAATTCAAGGAGCCGATTCCGATGTGGAATGGTTACATGTTAGTAAAGTGAAGGGTCATGTGGAAAATAAAATAATGTTAAATTATCTTCAAGAAACCTTCCCAAATGAGAACGTTAAGTGCTTTAAGTTAAATACAAAGGGCAATAATAGTTCGTTTAAAATGGGTGTACGGCAGGAGTGCAAAGTGAAAATGTTGAAAAGTGAAATTTGTCCCAAAAATGTGCTGCTGAAGGATTACGAGTTGTTTCAACTTGAGGAACTGATCGTATCACTAAATTACCCTGATATTTTTTGTATTAGTAAAGTTTGGTCTGACGAATTTGAACTGATATATTTTCATTGATTCATATAAATTGACTGATTATTTCTGTCGAAAAGATAAGCAAGGTGGCGGTGTCGCAATTTTTGTTAAAACTGAATTGGAATACACAGTAAAGTCAAGTAAAATAAATAAAATCGATGAAATTTTTAAATATGCTCTAATAGATTTATAGATTATTAATTTTTCATCATCATCAGATATTGCTCAATTTTTAAGTAACATTTACTGTCTATTGTCTGAAATTGACAAGGGTGATAAAATATTCTTAATTCACGATGTTAATGCAAAAAGATTAAGAAACATTTTCTTAACTTATGGTTTTACATCAATGTATTTTTGAATATACACGTATAACAAATCAGACAAAGTCAATAATTGACAATATTTTTCTAATTTAGAAACACAAACTATTAAATGAAGTGTTATACGCACTGATGTCAGTGATCATTTTTTACAACAAATTGTTTATGACACCCAGTCTGGTTCGGAAAGTTTTGATGTCACTTATGCATTGAAACGTAAGGTTTTTAATGCTCAGAATATTTTTTACTCTAAGTATTTGCTAGCAAATGAAAGCTGTAGTTTTGTAAATGAAAATACTTTATCATGTGATACAATGTTTGGCCTCTTTTACAATATATTTGTGAATATTTTTGAAAAGTCATTTCCAATAGAATCATATAAAAAAAATCAATAATTAATATAAATAAGGGAAAGACTTGGATTACTACGGAAATTATAAAGGTATTTTGCAAGGATACAATATTATTAACAGAAATCATCGGCTAAAAATTCCGATAGCGAAAAAAAAATTATTACGATACTCAAATGTTTTATTCAGACAACAAAACAAAATATGCCTGAAATATAATAAATAACAAAACAAATGGGAAAAAATCAAATAAAAATAACTACCCAAACTATTTTAAAGATAATGAAGGTAAACGAATTTTAAAAATAATAAAAGTCTAACTTTGTTTTTGGATCTTTCTCAAGCCTTTGAGACAGTCAATCAAGACGTATTTTTACATAAACTTGAGTTGTATGGTATCAGGGGCCCTGCTCTAATGTGGATAAAATCTTTTTTAACTAACAGATCCCAAATAGTTTTACTTAATTCAAATTCTTTAAAAAATCTATCAACTTCTCGAAAAGTCAGTTCCGGTGTACCACAAGGTAGTGTCATAGGTCCTACTCTTTTTCTTCTTTTTATTAACGACTTACCCAGTTCTAATATTTTTATCACTCAATTTGCTGATGATACATCATTTAGTGTTATAAGTAAAGATACTCTTTTGTTACGAGATCAAGCTAACATGGCTGTCGAAACTATGAATAGTTATAGTGACAACAATGGGCTATTTTTAAATGTTATAAAACAAATATGTTATTATTTTCCCCAAGAGAGTTAAATTATTATAGTTTACTGGTCCGCCACAATAACTCAAAGTAGATGTGTCAAATTTTTAGGAGTTCATTTTGATTGTAATGTTTCTTGGGATTTTCATGTTGACCATATCACAAATTAATTAGCCACTCACTGTTATGTCCTTTGGCAGCTAAGACATTTAATTTCAGTAGATATCCTGAAAATGTATTATTTTGCTCAAATTCACTCGATTTTGAATTACTACATATTATGTTGGGGGAAATTGTAATAGAATAAATGACATACTTGTGTTACAAAAAAAGGTTATAAGAACCATTACTTTCAAAAATAGACAATTCTCATGCAGAAAACTTTTTAAGGACCTAAGAATTTTAACTGTTATTTCCGTTTATATTTTAAAATGTGTGTTATATGTAAGGTCTAATCATCAGAATTTTCTTTGTATAGGTGATATTTCTATTAATAGCGGGTACAATTTAAGAAATGCACAAAATCTCGTTATACCTAAACATAAATTAGTTATGGTAAGTAAAGTACTTCTAGTTACAGCAATCAAGCTTTACAATAAACTTCCGGATAACATAAAATGCATAAATGATGTTAAAGCTTTCAAAACCCGAATAACAGAGGTCTTACTAGCTCACACTTTTTATAGTGTTGAGGAATACCTCCACTGTAATTTTACTTAAATGTTTTAATTTTCTTTAAATGTTTTAAATGTATTGTTTGTAACAAATTATATATAAGATTGTTTTTACTCTTACATTTTTGTCTTGTTTTTAAATTTTATGTGACGTTTTCTATACCTATGTATTATACAGGTCTACAGAAATAAATGATTATTATTAGTACATGGGACGACCCCTGAAGTACCCCATTTCTAACAAAAAAGAATCATTGAAATCGGACACCGTGTTAAAGAATTATCGCTGAACATACATAAAAAATAAATATTGCGACGAATTGAGAACCTCCTCCTTTTTTGAAGTCGGTTAAAAATCCTATAAAATAAAAAGGACAATATAATATAAATATTAGTCTGTATTTTATTTAACCGAATAGATCAATTTGCATAGTAATATTTGTTTATTTTCATCATTGAGGGGTCGAAATTCATACATTCGCCAAAGAAAAAAAAAAGATAAATAACACTGTAGTATAATAATATTAGACCATTCAATGAAATGAACTTACTAAAAATTTCTGTCCGTCAATGTGTCTGTTTTCTAAAATCTTGGCGACATCTTCATAGCCATTCTGTAATAAAAAACAAAATTAACTGCAAGGAAATTATTGTTTCAAAATGCTAAATTTACGTTTCCGATCAATTACAAAGTCCGAAGGTCATCTTCATGAAACATTCTTGTTATCGTTTGCACCTTAATTAATAAAAAACTGATCTATATCTGAAAGAATTAAGGTACCATTTGGGAAGGCGAGACCGAGACCGACTTCAAGCAAAAGCAAAATCCAAAAACGGTCTCTTCACGTCTGAACACATGTTATTATATGAAACACATTTGGGAAGGTGCGACAGACGACAGAACTTTTAGTATGGCAATATTTTCCACCTTGCTGCTCTCGTCTGTCGTCTGCCTCTGTCTCTTATTCCCAAATGATGGTGATATTGACCAAAAGTAACTTTTTTAACCCGGCATTAGTCACTAGGTTAAAAATCCCATCGTTAGTCGCGCGTGAGATTTTCTCTCACGAAGAAAATGAAGAAATAAAACGCTGTTCATTTTAATGATTAGTTTTAGTTGTGAATTGAACAGTATGAACAGTTGTAAAACATGATATTTTTAATTTCAAACGACTAATAGGTTTATAAATCTTCATTTTTGTTGATTTTAAAAGAGCTTTCGACTCAGTTGATCATGTGGATTTGTGGAACAAATTATTTCATGTAGGAGTGTCATCAAAAATTCTCCTTGTAATAAAAATGCCTTATTCGCACGCTACGGTACAAATAAAGGGATCTGATGGGCTATCCAAATCGTTTGAAGTGACAACGGGCGTCCTACAGGGAGAACCTCTAAGTCCCTTATTATTTGCACTGTTTATAGCTGACTTTGATACCTTTTTTTATGAGAACGGTGCTCAAGATATAAATATTGATGACAAAAATGATGTTTTGTCGCTAATATATGCTGACGACCTTGTCATTTTAGCACACTCTGAGATTGATGTAATTAAAAAGTTAAAAATTTTAGAAAAATATACTGTTGCTAATAAATTAAATGTTAATTTACAGAAAACAAAAATAATGCAATTTTCTAAGGGAGGTTTCAGGACGCCTAACTTTAATTTTTACTTTAACAACCAACTTATTTCTATAACTAATAAATATACATATCTAGGAGTAGTATTTACTTCATCAGGTCTTTTTAATGAAATGGCTCATTTTACTGCCAACAAAGGTAAACAGGCTATAGGTTCTCTCCTTCCGATAATGTCCAAAGCTAAAATTAATACTTGGCATCCTAGAATCAAATTATTTGAGTCACTTGCCCTTAGTGTTATGTTTAATTGTATTTCTGTTTGGGGCCTAAGATACTTAGATGTATTGGAAAGAGTCCAGTTATATTTCCTTAAAAGAGTTCTTTTAGTTCCCATCACTACTCCTGATGCTATAATCCGTTTAGAGACTGGAAGAGTAAAGTTTGCATTTAATATTTTTAAAATGTCCCTTAATTGGATACAAAAAATAATGACAATGGATAATCATCGATATCCAAAGCTTTGTTTTAAACAACAATTGCGTTTGATCAACTCTACAGATATAAAGTATAACTGGATAGTACAGTTGAAAAAGTTCTTTGTTGATATTGATTGTGTTCATAAATGGAACAATTTAAACCATCCTTCTTTTAGTTCATATAGAAAAGAATTGTTTTCCAAGTATTTTACACATTTACATGATTCAGATGTTAGTATAGCGTCTCACTATCCTTTTATTTATTTATTTATATAATTATGTTCCTACATCTTGTGAACCAAGTACATACTTACTCTTTAAATTACCAATCCAGGTTACCCGTACTCTTGCTCAATTGCGTATGTCCAACCATTTTAGGATTAAATTTACATTAAATGGTATTAGTTATGTTATTGACCCCGAACTAGATTGTACTGTGTGTAATACACATGAAAAAGTAACAATTTTTCACATACTTTTTGATTGCCCTATTTACTCAACAATGAAGCAAAATATCGCTTGCCTTGAAAATGTAAACTCATTGCTGCATACTTTACAAAATATAACAATTTTTGAAGCTAGGAAAATTGCTGAATATATTTGGAATATATTAAAATTGCGCTCTTTTGAACTGGAAGAATAATGTTGTTTTTATGTTTTAAGATCTAATTTTTTTATATCTGTACTCATTGCTGTAACTCAGGTTTAGAAGCAATAAATATTATTATTGTTATTATTATTATTATTAAATCTTCATCAAATCCCATCTCTGAGGTAGAGATTTGACAAGAAAAAATTGTGTGTTCAGGGCAAATGGGTTGCTGGCAAGTTCTACATACTTTCTTGACTTTTCTATTTTTTCGACGAGGGCAGAAACTACAAAAACTCTCATTGACATTTTTAGGTTGTCTTACTTCTTCTGGTGGTAGTTTTGCTATTTTTCTAATAAATGTTTGTAGGCTGCATGGTAAGTTTGTAATTTGGGACCGGCTTATTAGGTAAGGTTTTATTAGCGAAAGAGCTAGTTCTTTCAAATAAGGAGAAATGGGGTCATTGATGTGATTTGCCTTATATATTATAAAGCTGTTGATGCCACCAATGTTTAGCATTGAAAAATTTATCGTCAGTGGCCATCTATAACTTACTCTTGCAACCGAGTATAACGCTTTCATTTTGTCAACCACGTCGACTGCACCCTTAGTTAAATTATAAAAAGTTATAATTTGACAGTACGCTATATGTCTTTTCATATTTAAGATATGTATGATTCTGTTGGTGTTGCCTTCATAAAAAAGTTTTTGCCTAAGAAATGCAATATTTATCAAATCGAAATCTACTTTCAAAACAATGAAAACCACAAAAAGTTTACTTTTTTTAAGTCTCTGTAATGAATAGAATAGAATAGACTTTTATTCACTACATCATGATGGTGGGTGAGGTTTTCCGGGTTTTCCTCACCTGTAAGTCAAATGGCACCATCAATCATTCTTAAGTCGCCCCGGAGCGTTACGGCAAATAATAATAGCCGTCCCTTCCCCTACACAAGTCGTTTAGTCGATTTCAGGGGTTGAAATTCACTCGTAAGGGGGTGAATTAGGGAGAGTATTATTATTATTATTATTATTAATATATACAAACATATATACACAAATAAATAGATTTATAAATTTTTGGTAAAGTTTATTTAAATTGAAACTAAGGGTGCATCGGAAAACTAAACAGAAAGAGAAGTTAGAGAAGGAGAACAGTAAAAGACGCAGAAGAGATAGGGGTAGAGGGAAAGGCAAATTAGGAGTCAAAGCAGGTTTGGGGAGGTGGTGAAAGGAGAAAATAACATTCGGAAGATAATTTTCGTAGGTAGCCAGAGGAGTCACGGCCCTAAAACCTTTAAGATTTTGGAATTATTTAACTCTTACGGGGTGAAGTCATTATCATATTGTTATTATTACTAGTCAACAAATTTTTAAACTATGTAGGCAATCTTTAATTTCCTCTTTCAATTTCTTATTTTTTAATAGTTTAAATAATTAAGAATGTTTAAATTTTTACTTACATCTTGTATTAATTTTAACAACTGCACTTCATTTAAAAGTAACACTTTGTTTAAAGCCATTAAAAATACTTTATCTCAGTACAGTTCAAACACAAATAAGCTAAAACAAATATACGTCCACTAATAAAAATTATTGAATTTTATATCCTGAGTGCCTCATCAAATATTATAAATAAATAGATATATAAACAAATATATTTAAAATGAACTATATAAATAAAACTTAGATGAAGCTAGATGAATGCTTTGGGAGCAAATGAATATCAACTGTGGAGGACCGTCTTATCTGTTGCAAATAGGAAACCACATGATTGTATGTATCATTTATTTTTTGTTAATCACAAAACCCGTCTAAATTGTAATTAAACTGAATAATGCATTGTTTTAAAATAATTATTATTAGTATCACATTTAATGAGAATTTTTTCTTTAAACCTATATAAATAACGTATAACAGCCCTATAAGTTATGATAAACCTACCACCACTACATATATTAATTCAAGGTGAATCTTTGTCCGTTATAGATTACACAGTTTCATCACCCATAAACAATCTGCATGGGCGTGATTATTGCGAGCTATTTATAGAGTTGAAAAACGATCAAAATAATGAGATAAAATGCTTCTATAACATACCTTTCAAAAACTATAAAAAAGCATACAGACACGGAAAAGTGGAATGGAGGACCTTCTATTCATGAGAAAATCATCTGATATACAGATAGCGCGCATATGTGTTAAGTAACATTTTGCTAATATATCACAATTTAGATTTAAAAGTTTGAAGCTATAGCTCTCTGTTATTTAACATGAAATGAATCTGTCAAACCCTTTCAAGACGTCTTTGTTGCTTCTGATTACATAATAAAGCAAAATAAGAACTTTTTTAAATGTTACTTAATAATTAGCAGTTCAAGTACAAATTTAACACATTTTTAAATGAATCCTGTGCATTTGCCTCATTTGTGTAACGACTTGTAATTAATTAATTTCTATTTTTGTTCTGTTAAAAATGAATCAAAAACAGCTTGAAAACAAAAAAAGCTTATTGGCGGCACAGAAACTAAATATCTGTAATATTTTATTAAAATATAAATATAGAGAACATTAGTTTTCGGCATCTTCTTCATGACCTGACATGGAGTTGGTCAATATTTTATTAGTTGTTATCCCTGCAATAAACTGGGTATTATATTTTGCGATAACTTTTAGTTTTAATAGCTCAAGCAGGGGCGGTTTATCCATTGGTTCATTTGTGCAGTAAACACCCAGTTAAATTTCATAAGAACATATTATTTTAAAATTACATAAATAACATAAAAATATAAAGGAGAATGGGCAGTTTTGTCCCACCTCCCAATAGGAGTAAGATATATGCCAAATGAAAGATATTGGTAGTCAGAACATTTGTTTTTATTATGACTTCTCTCAATTATCTGTTCCTTCCAAGCTATACAGCGTGTTTACTTAAGTTGAAACCGTATGGAAAACTTTTTTAATATTGGTTTTTTGAAAAAAATTATTATTGATAAGAAGTTCTGCATGGTTCAAAACTTAAAATGCAATCATCAGATATCAATTTTTTTTAAGCCATATACGAAGTTTGTCAAAAATATGAATTTTACTTAAGAGTAAAGTTACTTATTTTTTATAATACAGAAGAATGGCTTAATCACTTTAAGACAAGGGTTTTTGAAAAAGGGCCAATATTTACGTCATAAGGTATAGGAATAAAACGAATGTGATTTTATGTGAAACTGAATCTCTAATCTAGAACCGTATCGTAAGACAAAATATTCAGGGCATTTCTGTCCTCAAGACTTAAAATTAAAAACAAGTATTAGAAATTAAAAATTAAAAAAAAAACCGACTTTAAAAACGTGCAGATGCCATCACCACATCTTAACTAAATTTATATAGGACCACCCCTGAGGTACCCCTTTACTAACAAAAAAAGAATCATATAAATCGGACAAGGTGGTAAAGCATTATCGCTAAACATACATAAAAAATGAAGAGTTTGAGGATTTTATCATGGACCCAATTATTAGATTTTGACCAAATTTATATGGGACCACCCCTGAAGTAGCCCCTTTCTAACAAAAAAAGAATTAATCGGACACCGTGTTAAAGAATTATCGCTGAACATATATAAAAAAAAAATATCGCGACGAATTGAGAACCTCCTCCTTTTTTGAAGTCGGTTAGAAAGACAAAAATTTACATTACAAGGTATACAAACGAGGTCTCTGCGACAAGGTAAATAAAGTCAAGTTGATGTTTGAAGTTTGAAGATTCGTGGAGAAGGTAAAACGAAAATGCCTCGCGAATATAGGAGTAATTTTAATGTTTTTAAAATCGGAGAGTTAAATCAGCGCTAGATATACGCACAAAAAATCGAAGTTCGGATATATCACGGCAATTTAGACATAGGTAGATAAAGGTACCGGTACCAGTAGCAGAAATTCTTAGTCGAAGGATGAAAAAAAAATAAATTGACATACAATATCACAGATGAGGTCGATTTTTACTTGTAAAAATGTTATCCTATAGAAATTTTTGTTATTTTTCTATATGAAGGAAAATGTCATGAATTATTTCCATTTTAAAAATTCATAGAAAAATATTTGAATATTTTCCCCCTGGGAAGCAAAAACAAACATTTATTACCATAACAATAGTTTAATGAGTACAAATGACATGTAGAAATAATTAATCATTAATTTCTATCAATATTTACATTTTATGATATTATTGTTGCAGTTTAAAATTATACAAATTGCTCATACTCAAAATGATTACAGAATTTTCATTTTCGGAAGAAATCAGGAATAACTCCACATCAGTGGCAGCTGGTGGTAATTTAAAATGGGTGTTCACTTTTCCAATAATTTTATCATTTGTAAGTTCGGATCAAAACATTGTACAAGAGTCAATATCGCTGTTTTTTTATTATTATTTGAGTTTGTATTAAGTGTAGTTATTATTATCAACATCATACTGTTAGTAAACTGACTTTTCTTTATAATAAGTAAGTTTAATCATTTTCACAATTTGTCACAGATGTCAAATAAAAAGTATATCTTTTTAAATACCTTTTATAGGCAAATAAAATGAGAACTAAAATGTTTTAAATGTTTATTTTATAAGATCAGTCTCATCACAATACATAATATTACACAGTATATTTACTCTATGACCCACAAACAAAAAAATAAAAAAAAATTAAAATTATTTAGAGATTGTGACAAAATAACTGTTTTAAAAATATATTAATTAGTCCTCATTCTGGATTCATAACAAAGACCTTTTGCACTAATTTACCTTCGCACTAACGAAATAAACAACTTTTTTCTTCAATACTGATAATTAAAAGAAAATGTATCTTCCGATATGTCTTCTATGGAAACTAAAGTCTCCTCTGATACATCTTCGATAAAAAATTAAACTGCGTTGAAGAGAAAATAAAAGAAACGGAAAAGAAGAAAGGGAAAATAAAGTGTCATAAGGTAGACTCAAAGCCAAAATTGTAAGAAATTGTAAGGCTTATGATAAAGCCCCAACTCTCGACGGAAAGATGTCATGGACCAATTACCTAAAATAGTTTGAAACAGCTGCTAAATGTGACCATTACCCATCGAGGAGATGCTTTAGATGATTTCCAGACTATGCCTGTGGAACAACTTAAAAAGAGATTAAACATGCACTATGGTCACGAACGTTGGCAGCAGGTGGGTCGATTATAGTTGAAAATTCTCAAACAGAAACGAGACGAGCACCTTTAAGAATACGAATTAGATATTGCTACGATATTGCCTAATCATCAGCAAAAGAACATATTTTATTGAATGTTTGGCTGTTCAAGCATTTGTCGGTCTTCTTCATGGAATTCAAAGAACACTCCCTTTTGAACGTGTCAAAATGTTGGTCTTGAATATAAAGCTTCTTCGCTGGCTCTGGTAGAGACTGTGGAGTAAGGACTATAAAGGTACTCGTTCGATAGTTGCTGCATAGACATGCTGCAGTTGAAGGTGGCCGAGGCAAGAGGCAGAGACACTACTGTTCTAATGAAATCTAATGATACACCGTTCGATTCACGCTGCAGCAGCAACCAGCTCACTAAGTGTCTTGCTCTGTCTCTGCTGCTTGGGCGCGCATCTGCACTAAGACCAGAGTGGAGGCAGTCTTTCTGCAGCAATCGTTGTAGTAAGTATTGTTGTGCTATTATCAAGCAATGACTTCCATAGTTCCATAGTTTTTATTTCAGGGGACTATTGTAAAAAAAGATGCATTAAAGACTCCTACAACAGATATAAACGGAAAACACATGTAGGGACAGGAAGTGCTGCTAAATCTAAAAATTTCAAATGGAAGGTGTATGCTGGATGTTTTTAGAAACATCATCTCATTAAGACACTATGTCGAATGTACTTGCTGTTTCAGATGACGACGACAACCATGGGAATGATAAAAATAGAACCAATATTAGTATATATGATGACGATGCTGATGGTGGTGATATAGATACTGCTGACAATGAAACCCAATCGACAATTGTAAATGGAACGCAAGTTTTACAACAAAACAAAAATACTTAGGAACAAGTCCCAACTCGAAAGCGGATACGGCAAACCAAATGAGATGAATTTCTACATTATCCAAAAATTTGAGTAATAAAGAAAATAATGATAAAAATGAAGATGAAAATGGCATCAATTTCTTTGGAGAACATATTAAAGCTGTACTTAAAATGTTACCTCCAATTTTAATAATTAATGCTAAAACAGAAATATTTAACACTATGAGTAAGTATGAACTTATGTTAGTGACTCCTTCTGATGCAATCCGTCCACAAAGTTCAGTATCCGACTTCAGTTATTGAGTATCTTCTCCAATAGAGGCATCAATTTTAACACCATCGACAAATGAAATGAACTGAAATATTCACTAAATGTATCATTATTTATGTTATTTATTTTGAATTACCTTAAAGTAATAAAGAGTTTTTTCTTCAATTGAAATTTTCGTTCTCAATTTTTTTGGCTGCATGTCTTTTTCAATTAAACTTAAAACAAAATAAAATTGAGTTTTATTCAGTCTGCAATATTTTCTAAATAAATCTTCATCGCCTTGTAGGTGCTGTAAAATTAACATTTTAAAATAGCCTTTTGTTTTTCGTTTTTTAAATAAGTGTATTGGCGCTCTCTTGCTTTTCTTATACAGGGTGAGTCGGGAGGAGCGCACCAAACTCTAGGAGTATATTATACACGTAAAAATAATGTAAAAATCTCATATGTTCTTATCCGATTTTCATTTGTTTTCAAGTTATAGCATATTAACAAATAAAACAAATTTACACATAAACATTCTCTTAATCATAGCGTTCTTTCACTAAATGTTTAAAAATACTGCCATTGACTTCTAAACATTTTCTGCTTCGTCTACGAAGAGCGTTTGTTGCTCTCCTAATTGATTCATTTCTTTCTTCTTTAATATGGGCTGCAGTATTCTCAATTCGTCTAATTAGTGCATCCCTTGTATCCACTTTTATTTTGTAGACTTCATTTTTTATCTAGCCCTATAAACAAAAATCTAATGGTGTGAGGTCTGGAGATCTTGCAGGCCAATTAGTAAGACCTCCACGACCAACTCAACGCCCTGGAAAACGTTCATACAAATGTTGCTTGACCTGACGAGCGACATGTGCAAGAGCTCCATCGTGCTGATAATACATCTGCGTTCTAATATTTACAGGAACATCCTCTCTAGCAGGCCTTGTAATTAATTTTGTAAAAAATTAAGGTAGTTGTCTCCTGTGAGACGATTCTCCAAGATGAAAGGGCCAATTAAATAACTGTCAACCATACCACACCACACGTTTACAGAAAACCGATGTTGAAAATTGCTTTCGACTGTTGCGTGGGGATTTTCGTCTGACATGATAGTTACGAGTATTATTAATGCCATCACGGGTAAATGTAGCTTCATCCGTAAAGAGTATACTCGATACAACACGATGATTATTATTTATCCACCGACAAAACTCCATACGGTTAGCGTAATCCTGTGGTTGTAGGTGCTGTACTCTCTGTACGTGATAAGGATATAAGCCTTGCTCGTGGAGTGTGTTTATCACTCTTTTTTTGTGGAATTCTCAATTGAATGGCAATCATCCGTGAGTTTGTAGTTGTATCTTCTTCTACTAGATGCAGAATATTTTCTACTTCTACAAAACCTTGTCGAATAGTGCGTTCAGATGTTATGAAAGCACTGGAAAGCTTACCAGTCTCGCACAATTTGTTGAAAACTCTAATAAATACGTTTTTATCAGGATGTCAGGATGTCTTCGGGGTGGAAAACGTTGACGATATTCTTCAGCAGCAGCTGTAGCATTTCCATTACAGAAACCATAAACAAACACCATATTTGCATATTCTAAATTTGAATAAGTATCTGGCATTTTGCAACACTAACAAAATTAAACGTTCAGTTGCTGTTCACTGTACACTGACAGTTCATCAAAACGTCAGAATTATCAAATGCCTTTGAGCCTTGAATATATGGCATACTTTCATAATGTTAAAATTCAGAAGTGGAAGGCTAGATGAATATTTTTAATTACGCCATAACTTGAAAACAAATGAAAATCGGATAAAAACATGAGTTTTTTGCATTATTTTCAAGTGTATAATATACTCCTAGAGTTTGGTGCGCTCCTCCCGACCCACCCTGTATAAATAGTACAATAATAAATTCTGATCTTCCTCTTCTTCTAATAAAATTTGTTTGATAATTCTATTCTTGGCAGACATTCAATATGCACCTTTCTCAACAGCAAAAGAAGTACTGATCTGTCATTCTGTGGCATGTACCGTATGCTACTAAAGTGCCCTCTAGGTGTCTCCTGTCCTGCCTCGGTCGTTTGCCTCTTACCTTGGCCGCCTGCAGCTGCAGCATGTATTTGCAGCGACTATCAAACTAGTACCTTAAGAGAGGGATAAGAGCATGACCAAACTGGTCAAAAATGGTTTGTACAATAATTTAAACCATTTTCTTCTGTTCTTTTATTGTATAGTTTTACAAATTAAGTTAGTTTAAATAATAAATAAAAATCAATGATTACAACATAATTAATACAGAAATATTAATATTTAAAAAGGTTCCGATCACTCTTTAATAACTATCACATGGCTGCTAAGGACAGGATAATTGGTATCAGTTTTTTATGTTATTCAGCCATATTAAAAAGTACAGCAAATTTTGGACAAGTAACAAATAAAATAAAACTAATAAAATTATACAAATAAATAAAAGTTATTTAGTAACAAACAAATTAAAATTTTAAAACCAGCGAAACCTCATCGTTTTGTTTTACGTCGTGTGAGTAGCTTTTATTTATTTGTGTAAAATTCTATTACGATCAAGACAGTGTACTTTGTTATATCTTTCTTTTCACTAATCCAGGTTGATACATTTTAATTAGGAACACTGGTTTTCACTTATTAGACATTTTGGTAAGTATAGTAGTTTAGGAATAAAACAAAGTAAAAATGTTATAAAAGCTACTTGTAGTTAAACTATTTAACTATCCTTTGTTGAAGGAAAAAGTAAGTTAGCTTGTATAATGTTTTAATTTCAATGAAAAGTACTTTACAACTATGTTTAATAAGGCTTCTTTCAGAACATTAGAACGTCGGTGTTTTTTCTCGCCAATATGTATGCAATGAGTTTTAAGGCAGATAGTTCTCGAAAAAACGTTAAGCATGATTTAGACTGTTTAAGAATTTACAAATTTATCTCAAAGATACATCTTTTGATCGGATATTAGATGAACAACCATTAAATTAAAAATGGTTTTAGGTACATAGTGAAACTATTGTTACAAACTAATAAAGCGTTACTTGTTTTTCACAGCTTAATCTATATTAGATCTAGTTTTTCAAAAACATTTTTCTTTAATGTTAGACATCAACAATTGTCTAATAAGTAGAATAAAGGATGCAGAAGATGATAGATATAAAAGGTTTAAACATACGTGTCTCCTGGGTAGCTAATACAACGAAAAAACCTGAACATGGAAAACCCAAAAAAGTAATGATATCTACATTAAAAATTCCTTATCTCGGAAGTTGGTACAAATTTATAACTTGATAACTATTATCATTTTAGAATTGGAATAAAAGGCATTAAAAATGTATGAAACTGACCCTCTGACTTCTTTAAAATTTCTGGTTACCGTTAGTTTTTTTTATTTTTAAATGCCTTTAACAATAACTAACTTATGTTTATTAAAATTGATAAAAACATAAAATAAGAGTTTTAACAAGTATTATCAAGAGTGTCTTTTAAAGATTAAAATACATCTGCTAGCAATGAGGATTTCAAACAAATCTGTATTACAATTCCCCCTTCTTTAAAAGTAAGTGCTTCTCTTTTAAAATAATCCACAAAAGCTGTCAATGTTCCGAACTCCGGAGAGACACTACTTGAATCACTATTTAGTCGAATTTTGTTGGTATTAGTACGTTCAATTCCCAAATTATAATATTTACCATTCTTTTTTAAAGTTAATACAAGAAAATATTTTCGACTTGGTCGAAATAGAAATGCTCCATCTTCTAAATTACATAACAATTTTTTTGCTCCCTTCCTGTCAGTGTTCCTGTAGAATTTTTCGTTATTGATATTGACTGAAACAAAATAAAAATTTAGAACCTATTATCAATACGTAATTTTTTTAAATTTTCTTACAAATTGAATCTTGTTCATCTTCCCTTAGAAGAACTTCTTCTTTAGAGACTTCTTCATCTTCGGCTTTTAAATTAATTTCTTTCCTTAAGTAACTAGAAGCTGAAGACTGCGAAGCAGCAACGTTACCATAAAATGGAGGATGATATCGTTTTGAAGATGGATCCTCTAACGATTTGTTATTAATTAAAGATTTTTGTTTTAAATTTATTTCTCTGGATTTAAGAGCATCTGGCGAAATCAGTATTGGTGAAACTGATTTTTTTTGGCTGCTGAATGTTGAAGTTCTTATAAATTGCTGATTCTCGTATTTGGCAATATCTGAAAAGATCATCTTATTTAGTAGAATCAAGAGCAAGAAAATAAAATAATACGTAGCATAGTAGTTTAGTTAGTCAAATATACCAAATTTCGTAATCAGAAAATGCGTAGTTGCCATATTGTAACAATCGTAAATGCTTTGTAATGAAGTCAATTTTTTCTCAATCGGTTTCTTCAATTAGCTCCGAAATACTCCGGTCCGTACACCGTTGTCAAAGTCGTCTCTCCCGTCGTCTACAACCTCAAAGATGCTGCAGGAAAAAGACTCAATCAGGTGCACATAATAGACCTCAAAACGGTCGTCGAGTCAGCTTAGACACCCACCTCACCCACCGTCACCGCCTCTAAACCGTCTGGAAGGTACCAATCGATTGGATTACAGGTAGACCACATCCACGACGCCGTACTGTTGGCCTCCAATGTTTCCGACAATGGTAGTTCCAAGTCCGACGATATGGTATGGAAATGGTATGGGTTTGACTCCAGAACCGAAGAAAGGAGATTATATTTTGAGTTTGTAAATTTTATTAGTTTTGTAATAATTAGGTAGGCGGATTAAGGAAAAATAAAGGCAAACGATGTTCACCTTTATTTTTCTTTCCAAAGTGAGTGGGAATGTAATGAAGTCAATTTTTCCTCAATCAGTTAATTTTAATTCTTAATAAATATTAAACGCGATTAAAATGTTGGTCCTGATCTTAGACATATACGCATTGCTGATCGACATATCGATGCGCGGTAGTACTGCCGTTGGTGGGGTATCTGGTAGTAGAAGGGTTCTCGACAACTGAACCAGGTCCGAGATTAAATTAAAATTTTTAGTTGCTAATAAACCGATTTATCGGGCAGTTCTAAATAAGACTTGCTTTTACACCGTTATATTGAATAGACGAATAATTAAATTACTCCGAGATACGATTCCGACAATCAAAACCGAAATTCATTTCTAGCCGCGATCTTGACGATAGGTAAATTGTTGTCATTGTTTTTATAAATTGATTTTTTCCGCTCGAGACTTTAAGCCGTGCTATTGGAAACCGATTTATTTTTAATTAACAATATTCCGTGTTGAGTTAAGAATTGAAATTTGTTTTGATTAAGAAATACTTTAATTTATTCTTGTTAGAAAATACCGTTCTTTTGGAATTTCATTTTAGTTTATTTAAGGTTTTAACCTGTTAAATAATTTGTTTTTCATTCAATCGTACAACTAGTTGTATAGTTAATTTTTCCTACTACTGAAAATTCCGTGGACAAATCATACATTTAATTTTAGTTTATTTAAGGTTTTCACTGTTTAATAATTTAAATTGCATTTGATCGTAAACATAGTCGTGTAGTTAATTTTTCCTACTACTGTTAATTTCCGTGGACAAATCGTAAATTTTATTTTAGTTTATTTAAGGTTCTAACTTAAATAATTTATTTTTCATTTGATCGTAATTATAGTAGTATTAGTAGTATAGGAACTGTTTGGGTATTGTCTAATGTTTTAATTGGTTATCTTAGTAGAATTGCGACGAGACATTTCCTTTTGTTTTATCTTACGAACCGCAACTTTTAAGAGCATTATTCTCCTGTCTGAAGCGGCTTGTGATTACGATCACTTCATTCAGAGATAAGGTGTTATCCCGGTTATTAGTTTATTTTATATCTGAAACATTCATTTGCGTAAGTCTCTGTTATTTCAAGAGAACTGAATTAGTATCATTCTTCTGTCTGAAGCGGCTCGTGATTACGATCACTTCATTCAGAGGTAACGTGCTATCCCGGTTATTAGTTTATTTTACGTAAGACTTCATTATTTTAAGTGAACTTAAATAGTATCATTCCCCTGTCTGAAGCGGCATGTGATTATGATCACTTCATTCAGAGATAATGTACTATCCCGGTTATTAGTTGGTTTAACTTTCCAACCACTAGTTTGAGTAAACTTCTTATAGAGTCCCAGTTATAGCCCTGGAATTAGTACTGTCGCGAACCTGTCTCCTCGCATTCTCTGCAACCGCATATGAAATTTTGCTTTGCCGAAGCATTCAATTACATTTGGTTGTACATACTGATTAGATAATGTAACAGTTAATTTTTGCTGCGACCGTGATTACTACAATTATTGATTTAATTTTTTTTTCTTTACGTCTGATTGAGGCTATTCAGAAGTCATTTCCGGCCGTCTTGTTTGTTTGTTTTTGTTCAGGGTTTGTACATATTACTGTGAGGGTGGGCGTTGAAATACACTAATTTATTTCTTGTTTTTTGTTGTAAATAGTTTAAAACAATATATGTGTCATTATTAACTTGCCATATTACTGGTTATTAATTCCCTACTTTATTTTCCCCTTACATTTCAGCTAGTGATAAATTTTTTAATAGCCCAAGCAACGATTAAAGCCCGTTACTTGAGGCCTACTATTAGCTGCATCTAAGTGACCTTTGACCCCTGATAATTTTCATCTCCATCTGTAGCTACCCGAGTACTTTCGATACCGTCTCGAGAGTTTGTGGAGTGAACCATATTCAAAAATCTGGCGCTCGAGAACCGCCCGTAACCAGCGCCATTCGTAAGGAACCGTTTTCTCTGTGGCGAGAAAACCCCTTACAGCTTTTTTACTTGGGGAATTTATTAAAACAAAACAAAAAACCTCTAGTGAAACAGGTTTCGTAATTAGTTAGTAATTAGGGTAAAATAGACTTTGATTTTCGTAGATAACATAAAATTATTTTAGGTTAATTAGGATGTCCGATATATATGAGAAGATACTGAGGCATTCAGATATAAATCACTTTTGAAAATTAGGACCAAATGAAGCGAGTCTTTATCAATATTCGTAACAAGTATAATCTGGCTGAAACAAGAAATTTAATGCAAATTGCTGTTCTTAGTGATTTTTATGACAATTCAAGTATCGGTTTTGTCATTTGGGTCAGTGAGTTATTAACGTTACGTTTAGCCAACACGTGGAATACGAGTATGATGGCTAAGGACTCTATACAAAGAAAATCTACCGAAGGCACACACGAAAAGAAATGTTTTTTTTAAAACTATTATTGGAAAAAATATTACCATCAACATCATTGTCCCTGGTTCTGGTTTCTTCTTTTTTAGATTCCATAGTATCAAACTGATTTCTATTATGTATTTTTTCTGTCACTTTCACATTGGTTTCTGCAAATCTTGGTAATTCTATATTGCTTTTTTTTCTGAGTGATCTATATCCAGTACTTAGAACTGGGTTATTATTCCTAGTTGATATCATTTCAGAGTTTCTTAGTGAAGAAGACGAAGTTGTAGGTAGGTTGAAAGGAATTTCAGGTAATGGCCGATTTTTATATGGCTTACCATCCAGTATTTCGATTGAAGGGATTTCACTCTGTAACATGTGGTTTTCGTAATTTAATGGTACTTTAAACGAATCATCCTGCTTTGTTGGTTTAGATTTTACTGCAAAAAAGCTATTAAGTTTATCCAAAAAGTTGGCGGGTCGTTTGGATTCGTCTCTTTCGACAATAATTACGTTGTTCGGGTCTTCAGCTGTTAATTTTATACTTCTTTGAGTTGATTCAGTAATTGAATTGGCTAAATTTTCTTCAGTTTCTCCACTTTCAAGGTCCTACATATAATATATAAAAGAAAGTACATTAAAATAAAAATATAACAGAAATTAAATGTTTTGATTTGTTTATACCAAGCTGCAAAAATGCATCAACAGAGATTGTTATTTATATAAAATAATCCACACTTCTGAGAAATGTTATAATGATGATTGATAATTGAGAACTGATCATTTATAATCACTGGCCAACCTTATGGCCAACAAAATTACATTTTTTTACTGATGAATGACTTATGTCACATGATGTTTACTAATTTTAAATCGCTGATTCTAAATATACCCTAACTTTTTTCTGACTGCTCTTGTTTACCAGTTGTATCTTTCACTTAAAATTCGCTATATTATAGTGTTTATTTGCAGTTTATTTAACACGTTAAGCGCCAGAGGGTAATTTCAAAATTGTTCGTTTTGGACCAATGGCTTAGTAAGGATGATATTATGGAAATAAATATGTAAAATATCTTTATTTTTTATTTATTGTTATTATAATGCTTTTGAAGTTATTTTTTATCCGTTGGTCCCATGGGACCAACGCGGTCCAGCAACCGCAAAATCGTTTCGCTGGACCGTTGGTCCCCCCACTTAACCACCTGTTGCTGTTGCCCGCCAATGCCAGACATCGGAAGTCGTTTGAACCTGTTTGTTTAGTTGTAAATGAACTCTCGTCAGTACGTGGATGGTGCATGGTCATTTTTTCCAGTTTTTGTGCTAAAAAAACGTGGCGCTAGGAATTTAGAAGCTTTTGTGAGGTAAGTTTTGTAATTATTTTTAAGAATTTTTTGATAAATTGTTAGTAGGCGTATACACATTTTATTGAAAATTCACATTTTATTGAAAATTCACATTTTAATATTTTTTAAATCACAATAAGTCATGAGCGTCACGTGTGTTTTTTAAATGAACAGAAAAACATACGACAGAAAGAGGCCTTTGAAGCCAGATGAACTTGAAGCATTTGCTGAAAGACCTGACATGATTGATGAAGATTCGGACGATTCTTGTGCCGATTCATGTTTTCAGCCGAATGGATCCAGTTCAGAATATGAGTCAGAATCTGATGACGGGGGCTGTATTCCAAAGCTAGGTTTAAAAAAGTATGTTAAAAATAAAAATTATTTTAAGTACATCACGTGTGTTTTTTTTAGATGGACAGAAAAAAATATAACCGAAAGAGGTCATTAAAACCAGATGAACAACGGGAGCTGTATTCTAAAGCCAGATGATCAAAATCAGGCACCCATTTCCAGAAATAGTCATGTTTTACCAACCACTTCCGGTCTGACCACTATGAGTGAACCTGAAACTGTAATAAATTTAAATGATAATCTGTCGTCAACAACAAAAGATGACCGTCCTAAAGAAGAACCTTCCAGCACTGATTTTAGTACCGTTCCTATTAATCCATTACCAGATTCTGATAAAAACGAAGACTCTGGTGTAAATGACGCTTGGGGACCAGCTCTAGGTAATCAACCAAAAATAACTGCTTTTCAAGGAGCGAAAAACGGTGGAGTTGATCCGAATGTAGCTGCTTTATTGGGCTACTCCAGTCCAGGTGAAGTATATTCTGCTCTTGTGGACGACCAAATTATTGCTATGATTACTAATTAAACAAATTTATATGCTACGCAGCAAATTTTAAACACAGATGCTGCAACTGGATCTCGTTTACATTCTTGGGATCCTGTTACCACAGATGAAATTAGAACTTTCCTAGCTTTGATAATGTATATAGTTCTTGTAAAGTTCCCTTCTATAAGAGATTATTGGAGCCAAGATTCTCTGTACGATATCCAATTTGCTCGATCAAAAATGACAAGAAATAGATTTGAATTTATTTTAAAAATTATCCATTTTAGTAATAATTCGACATGCCAACCTGGGGACCGGCTACATAAAATTCAACCTTTGGTAGATGTTTTAGTAAAAAACTATTAAAGCGTTTATAGTCGAGGTGAATACATATGTGTGGACGAGTCAATGGTTCATTTTAGAGGGCGACTTCTTATGCGACAGTATATGAAACAAAAAAGACATCGTTACGGAATAAAATTATTTAAGTTATGCACCGGTGGTGGCTACACATATAGTCTTAAAATCTATTCTTATCCCTGTCAGAAAAACTGCTTTATTAAGGACGTACCATGTGTACTGATAATTGGTACATAAACCTAGATTTAGCTAACAAACTTCTAGATACCGATACACACTTAGAACTGTTCGTATAAACCGAAAAGGTTTACCTAAGTGGTAACAAAAAAGATGAAAAAAAGAAAATTTTACGCAAAAGAAAATAGAAGAGGAATAACAGTTTTAAATTGGAAAAATCAACTAAATGTCGTTAAGTTATCCACTAAGCATTTTAACGAAAGCGTTGAAGTTAATCACAAAAAATACCGTTTAAATTTGACAACGTTCGTAAATGAGGCTTACAAAAATTACTTTGAGCACTCGCTGTAAATGAAGAATAAGCAATGGATTCCGCAAAAGGTATGCAAAACATGCGTTGAGTTCCTACGTTTATGGACAAATAAGAAAAGACATAGCTTTAGGTAAAAAACCGCTGTGATTTGAATGAACCCATAAACCACCATGACGACTGTTATTTTTGTTTGGTAAACATAACTGGTATTAACCAAATGGGAATATCCTTCCATACAATCGGCACATAGACGTGTCCTGAGCCCTGAACCTCAATCTGATACTTTAGCCAGAAGAATTTGAGAAAAAAAACGACAGTAGTTACAGTGACTTAGAATGCGACCTGGGAACGCCAAAACCATTAAATCAAGATGATTTAAACAACTTAATTAGAGATCTGGGACTCTCAAAGTCAGCTTCAGAAATTTTGGCTTCAAAGCTAAAAGAAAGAAAATTGGTAACGAAAGAAACTAAAATTTCTTATTACCGCACAAGAGAACAGAATTTCCTAAAATATTTTGCTGAAGAAGACAATTTCGTATTTTGTAAAGATGTACCTGGATTTATGGCTGCAATGGGATTACAAAATTATCTTTCTAGTGAGTGGCGTTTATTCATAGGCTCGTCAAAATGGAGTCTAAAATGTGTTCTCTTACACAATGGGAATAAATTAGGGTCGTTGCCTATTGCACAATCTACAAAAATAAAAGAATAATATACAACTATTGCTCTGGTTTTGGACAAAATTAAATATGTGGAAAATAACTGGATCATATGTGTTGATTTAAAAATGGTCAACTTTCTATTAGGTCAGCAAAGTGGTTACACAATGTATTGTCATGAATTCCTAATCCGACCCTGTATACGCACGCAATCAACTCGTGATCGAAGCAACGCTGACGTGTGGAAATAGGCGGACCGCATCTCGAATGTACAAGAATACGACGGAATGTCCGCCGCTGATGCACTGGAAGCGACTCGAATGGCGGAGAGTGCTGCTTAGTCATAAAAAGGAATGTTCGAGAGCATCTCTTATCTTCCAGTAGCGGAGTTGGACTAATATAAATAGCCGACGTATCAGCGCCCAGTTTAGTTTAATGTAGAACATTGTATTGAAAAGTTAAAGTGTAAGAAATAAATTAGAATTGATAGTGTCTAAATATTATATAAATTAAATAGTACGTCTGAAATAAATTGTAAATAGTTTTTAAATAAATAAACTACAAATAAATTAGACTTTCGTCACAGTATCCTTGTTTTCTTTACTTGTGGGATAGTACAGCTAAAAATCAACATTGGGTTAAAAAGTATTGACCTAATCGGAAAGATCTAGTTCCAGGACAACAAAACGTGATAAACCCACTTTTAGTGTCAAGAAATCGTATAATTTTGCCTCCGTTGCATATAAAATTAGGGATTATAAAACAGTTTGTCAAAGGTCTTAACAAAACTGAAAATTTTTATCTTTTTCTATCAAAAAAATTCTCGAAACTGAGTGTAAAAAAGATAAAAGCGGGCATTTTTGATGGGCCACAGATAAGATCAATAATAAAAGACACAAAATTTCCGAAAACTTTGACAGAAATTGAAAAAAAACGCATAGAATGAGTTTGTTTTGCTTTTTTAAAATTTTTGGGAAATAAGCAAAACTCTAACTATTCTCAACACGTTGAACAACTTCAAACCCTTAGATTGTTTTCCCGCTAACCTTGGGGATCTAAGTGAAGAACAGGGCGAGCGATTCCACCAGGACTTTTGTACGATGGAAGAACGGTTCAAAGCTACTGAAACTCACACATGATAGCTGACTATTGTTGGAGCATTCAGAATAGTTCTATGGGTTCAACCTCTGCAAGGAAGTCTTATAAAAGAAAGTTTTTTTTACCCTAAGAACTAAAGGAAATATGATTAACTTTAAACAAATTGTGTTTTACTATGAAACGGCAATGTGTCATATTTTCTAAACTAGAGCAAATAAGAAATTTAAATTACAGATTTGAAATCTTCATTAAAAATTAAGCTAGTGTCATGTTATATAGCTCAATCATTAGAAATGCTGTTGTGCAGGGTAATCGGTGATTGATGATTTTAACACAAAAGACTTACCAAGTAACCTCCAATAGTTTTAATATTACTCCTTAACTTTATGTGGTTCTCCACTGGTATTGTTTCGTAATCATTTATCTCTTCATCATTTTGGTATGATTTTCTTGGTATGGGTATAGGACTCCTATTTGCTACTTCCTTTGGTTTTTCAGGGTAAAATTTGCGATTGTTTTCAAGAACATGTACACGTTTGTTTATATTTGGAGGAAGTTCGTATGTATTTTCCGGTTCAATATAATTATCACCCAAATCATTTGGAGTCAAGTAATCTTCATCCGTGTTGTCCATATCTGCACATGTTAATCCTTGCCTACTGGGTAGACGTTTGTTTATAACTGGTTGTATTTTATTTTTGACCATTGCTGACGAATTCGACCTTTCTATCGGTTCTGGTAAAAACGCTTTGAGTTTCGCATTCCACTGATTTGTTTCGTCGGCCGAATCAGGTTCTGGTAAAAATGCCTTGTGTTTCGCATTAATCTGATTTGGTTCGGCGGCTGAAGCAGGTTCTGGTGGTAAAGGTTTTGGTTTGGTTATTTCAATTGGCGAAAGCTTAGGGAGAATACATTTATTACTAGTATCTTTCAAACTAGGTTTTATGCTTTGAGTATTATTCTTATTAAAAATGTCAACCAGTTTTTGTTTTAATTCATTTTTTTCTTGGAAATTGTTTAAACTAATTTTCTTTATCAGTGCCTTTTCTTGCGGTGATGTTTGAGTAAATGCTGGTTTAGGTATAAAAGTCTTGGGTTTAAGTGTAGCAGATACATTTGGTTTAGGTTTGTTAGCTGTAGTTATATTTGTGACTGGTTTTTGTTTTAATATTACAGACGGATCATTTTTTACTCTTCTTATAAAATTAAAGAGGATTTTCAGCTGTGCTGGTGGTAATTTCCAGGCAAGTGTTTGAAAATCAGATAGTTCCTAAAAAATTAATAGTTGTTAAATAGTGAAATACATTTATTTATATATAAAATAATTTTTAGAATAATTTGTAAGTGGGCAAGTGATTAGAAGACACTGTATTGTTCAGTATTAAATGCACAAAAAAAAATATTTATTTTAGAGTCAACTAAATAAATTTAATATTCTTAATATTAAAGAGATTTGTACAATGTGATCTCATTTATTTAAAATTAATAGTTTATTAGTCACCAAATATTTAAATATAAACAACAAAGGAAAAGAGAAAATTTGTTTTTCTGTTATTTATTTTTAAATTGGTCAAAGTGAAATTTATTGTCTTTGATAATTGGCAGACTGGTTATTATTCCGCCCTATTCTAAAGAACGAGTTACCACAGTAAGCTTTAATTTTGCTTCCTAAGTGGATGTTGAGTTTTTCTTCTTTTTTTGTTGTTTATTTTTAAACTGGACACAAATTGGTTTCCTGAAATATTTAAATATTATTAAAAAATATACTTAAAATACAAAATTAATATGTTTAATTTTAAAACTCACTATTAATAAAGCAGTATTTTATAGTTAACACAAATATTGTGGTATATTTTTATTATTTATAGTAAAAATTCAAAATTAGTTTTAATTATGCATATTTGTTTTCAATTTTAATTCACTTACTATTAAGAAATCTTTATTTATAGTACATGGAAATCGTACCAAAAAAGAAGTGTTGCCTTACATCAAATGAAGTAGTTCTGATTTTTTTATAAGTTGGTAGTGATGAAATAAGTAATGACAAATCCAAGTTTTCCACCTCGAAAGCCCTTCGGCCCACAGTTAAATACTTGAAAATTCATTAAAATTTAGGAGTTACGGCAAAAATTACAATGCACACTTTTTAATTAGACTAAATTTGCAATTAAATGAGAATAATTTGGGTTTGGTAGGCGAAATAGTTTTTAAGATACGGCTATTTAAAAGTTTGTCAAATTTAAAAGAAAAAAGGAAGTATTACAGTTTTTTTTAGTTTTCGACAATTTTTACCCCTAAGTAGTGGGTTTATTGGAAAAATTACTTTTTTTTAGTTATTAAAGTCCACTAAATTCCCAACAAAATGAGATCAATTATGTCAACTTACTCCTGATAGTTCCTGAGACACAGCTGTTCAAAGTTGTTGAGGTAAGTAAACAATTATGTAATTTGGTTTTGGTAGGCCAGAGAGTTTGAAAAATTTCAACAAAAAGGAAGTGTTACAAGTTGTTTAATAGTCTGGTAGATTTTTACTAAAAGTGTGTTTTGTTGTTACTTTTATGTGTAACATAACATATTAAAAATTATAACAGAATTTGTTTTTACTTTTATTTGTAACTAATATCATGGAAGAAACAATACAATAAATACCTGTGTCACCGATTTGATATTCAAACTAAAATGCTAACGCCAGTACCCTGTGGGTGTTATATTCGATGAAACAACTATAGCTTCAGTTGTTAAGGAGAAGTTTCTATTGAATGACAGGAATAAAGATATACTCATCGACATGCAGAAGATTCACCTAAAGAAGAAGAAAATTCTACCATTACAGGCAGAGAAAGATGCTGATAGGTTAATATACAGGGTGTCCTTTAAAATGTGTCCCAAAATTCTCAGGCAGATTCCTTAACCAAAAAATGGAAAAAAAGTTCCTATAGACCTATGTCCTAAAGTGCCCCCTAAGCGAGCAACAGCCTCTCGAAATCATTTTTTTTATTTTGATTTTTTGAATTTTCTTAAAAATGGAAACAAATAAAAGAACCAAATTTTGGCTGTTAAATATGATCAATAATAGTGACCTTTTGACACCTTCAAAAAGAAATTATTTCGTCAGGGTTGTACTTGGGAATTTTTTGAAAATTTTGATTATTCATAACTTTTTTGTGTTTTTGGTAATGACTTATCTATATTTTTTTTTACATTCTACATTGAAAACTACGTCAAAAAGGAATACTTGTTTGATCTCGATTGGAGCAGCCGTTTCCGAGAAAACATCATCCAAAGATATTCGTGCAGTTTAGGTTAATTTTCAATTTTGGCTGTTGTAGCCAAAAAGTTGGAAATCGAGGAACACGGCTTACATGTCCCTATCCTTACTTTTGAAGGTCTATTCAGTGGCAAAAAATATTAGTTGATACAGGGTGATCAAAAATCGGATGTGATTTTGGATTTTTGATCACCCTGTATCAAATAATATGTATTTTATGTCACTGAATAGACCTTAAAAAGTTAGGATAGGGACTTTAAGCCGTTTTCCTCGATTTCCAACTGTTTGGCTACAACAGCCACCTGAATTTGAAAAAATGTGATTTTTGAGTAGCTGTAGATCCTTTACTATTCATATTAGATAACAAGTGTGATATATCATTGAAATCAGATTATCGAGCAGATTCTAAAAATATAAAAATATACAGGGTGTTCCATTTAAAAAACATAACTTTGATTTGGCACGGCCTTATGAAACACCCTGTCACATCGTAACTAATTTTAAAATGTGAAGCTTAAAGCTGCCTACTTTTATTATAACAGATCTACAGAGCTTCCTCACACTAATCAATCACCCTGTATACTATTTTTAGCTCTCTAAATAAAATTTAAAAATTTAGTTCCCATTTATTTATTATGAAGACCATAAGGTTTGTATTTAGCTGTTTAGAATAAAAAAGTAAAAATATGTATTTTTTTGGCGTTTTTGTGTTTCATGGATAATTTTTTTCGCTCACTGATAAAAATGTTTCTTCAGTTAAACATTATTTCTAAAAGTGTTCTGGTGCGATTCGTTGTATTGTTATTATTTTGTTTAAAATGGCTCACAATAACTACAATAATGATTACACATTCGGCGAAATGACGGACATGCACTTATGTTTTGGACTCGCTTCTGGAAATGCCAATGAAGCTCGCAGACTTTATCAGGAGCGCTTTCCAAATAGGCATCTTCCATGCGCTAAGACGTTTTCTAGAATTGACGATAGACTTCGGGAAACTGGTACATTTAAGAAAAACTCTAGTAACAGTGGAAGACAAAATTATGTGAGAACTCCTGCTTTGGAAGAAGCAATTTTGGATAGGGTAGCTGAAACCCCATCGACAAGTACCAGAAAAATAGCAAATGGTAAGTAATTACTTATTTATTATTTTAGCTACCCCATACCTTATCGTATAAAACTAGTTTTTTTACTTGTTATTGCTTCTCTTACATTTCACGACTTTTCGTATCGAAAAGAGTTGCGTTATGCAGAAAAAATCTGATTTCCCAAATCAATGGATTCTCTTTCTTAACTATTCACTACACAGATTCTCTCATTTAATTTCAGAAGTGGGAGTCGGACGTAACACGGTATGGAAAGTTTTGCGTGAACAACAATTGTACCCTTACCACATTCAAAAAGTTCAGGCACTTAAAGCTACTGATTATGAGCCGCGAGTTATCTTTTCTGAATGGTTTCTTGGAAGATGTAATCAAGATGCAATGTTTCTTAATAAAGTGCTATTTACCGATGAAGCTGGTTTCACTAGAGATGGTATAATAAATTTTCGAAATATGCATGAATGGGCTGAAGATAACCCTCACGCGGTTGTTAAACGTCACCACCAGGATAAATTTTCAATAAACGTCTGGGCTGGAGTTATTGATAATTACCTTATTGGACCATTTGTTTTGCCGAATAGGTTAAATGGAGCAGCATACAGGCTTTTTTTGGAAAATAACTTACATGAGCTTCTTGATAATATTCCGATTCAAATCACACATAACATGTGGTTTATGCATGATGGAGCTCCACCACATTACAGCCTTGAAGCTAGACAGCACCTTAACGAAAGATTTGAGGGTAGAGTAATTGGCAGAGGTTGTCCTGTTAACTGGCCACCTCGTTCACCAGATCTAAATCCAATGGATATTTTTGTTTGGGGTTATTTAAAATCATTGGTTTATTCCAGTCCTGTTGAAACAGTTGAAGAATTGGAAGAACGAGTTTTTCATCATTGCGAAGTTCTTAGGAATAATCCTGAAGTATTTTTTCGTGTAAGACAGTCTATGATGCGACGGTTGCGCTTGTATGTGGAAACCAATGGTCGCCACATTGAGCATCTGCTTTAATTTTTTTTGATTTGTTTTTTTAGAATAAATATTTTTTTAAACCGTTTCTTATTATTAAATAAAAATAGTCCCACCACGACATTTGAACTACAATTATTTAGAGAGAGCTAAAAAAGTTATTTTTATTTACGAGATTCACCGAGGTAATTTAGGAAAATTGAAAATTAAGCTAAAGTGGACGAATATCTTTGGATGATGTTTTCTCGGAAACGGCTGCTCCAATCGAGATCAAACAAGTATTCCTTTTTGACGTAGTTTTCAATGTAGAATGTAAAAAAAAATATGGATAAGTCATTACCAAAAACACAAAAAGTTATGAATAATCAAAATTTTCAAAAAATTCCCAAGTACACCCCTGACGAAATAATTTCTTTTTGAAGGTGTCAAAAGGTCACTATTATTGATCATATTTAACAGCCAAAATTTGGTTCTTTTATTTGTTTCCATTTTTAAGAAAATTCAAAAAATCAAAATAAAAAAAATGATTTCGAGAGGCTGTTGCTCGCTTAGGGGGCACTTTAGGACATAGGTCTATAGGAACTTTTTTTCCATTTTTTGGTTAAGGAATCTGCCTGAGAATTTTGGGACACATTTTAAAGGACACCCTGTATATTAACCACAGCCATTTCCTTATCCTATTTCTACGAAGTAGTGAAGATCGTCGGCGACTATATAGATTTGTTGGTCTTACTTTGTGGTCTGTCACGAGATAGAGGAGACCAAATCCTTCCAACAAACAGACCAAATAACAATATTATAATTGTAAAATGTGGGAGAGGAAAAAACCCAGATATCACCTACTCGACAAATTCCTTTACGCAATTATCGCAACCCCAAATAGCGCTGTTCCTTTACGCGTTTAGCCAAGGAAAAAATAAATTTCTATC